CTTAAATATCTTACATTTGCATAGGACCTTGAAGTTCAAAACGCTCTTCCTACTCTTCCTATGTATTTCTTATTTAAGCATCTCACTCTTAAGGACCCCGTGAAATGTAGGGATCTTCTCCTATTTAATGAAGGGAAATTTGGTTGATGTACCTGTCTCAGGAAGTACCATAAGTACACCCTGCTCATATCACTGAAAGCTCTAAAAGGTTTGCTTCAAGTCCAGTTTATGACAGTAGCCCATGCCCAGAGGTATAAAGGTATGTATGGCCTTTCTTCTCCACCTAATCTTCCGATTTCCTCTTCCTCTCTTTCTCTTATTCTTTAAGTGCATTCTCTTTAGGGGTCACAGCAGAAAGCTAAAGTTAGACAAAGAAAACCAAAGGCAGGTAAACAAGGTTGCCATTCTGCAGCACTACACAGGACATTTTGAAAGTTTTTAATTCCCACCTTCAAAGTTTATTCTTTGACCCGGAATTTAATCACAAAATCTCACCTACTCCTCCTGGAGAGTTTTGCCTTCAAAAGAAGGTTCTTTTAGCTTAGAGAGGGGAGAAGAACCATTATTGGAAATGATAAAAGTGACTAAAGACATCACTAAACTGAAGATAGCTTAGTTTACTGTGCTTATGGGAGTTAGGATATCAAGAAACCCATGTTAATTGGTACAAAACCGCAACCAACACATAGGCCTACCTGAGTCTATCTTTTTCTTTCTGGCATCAAGGAATATAAAAATCAAAATCCCCCAAAGCATATGGTTTTCAATCCTGTGTGCAAATATCTCTGAAGAAGGGAGTCCATAAATTTCCTTTATAACCACTCCTCCTAACCAGCAAGTTCTTTTCCATCTCAATTATATCTCTGTCCCTGCCATTTAAACACATTTTCTTATGTTCTGCCCTCCAGAGAGAAGAAAAACAGCTGTCTGATCCTCTTTGTAATAATCCTCATGGGCAATATTTGTGAACAGACTCCTTTGGATTAGTCTAGATTCTTCTCATTTGTCTTTTGCATTTTTGTGGCCCCCGCCCATTCTTTCCTCAGGGAGCCTTTCCATGTTCCTTAAATTTTACACAGGTAGTTTCTTCCTTAAAACCTGCCATTGTGAAAGTCTTAAGAGATAAAAACCCAATTGAAAGTAGGTAAGAAGTGGCAGAAATTTAGATCTGGGCAACACTATCCCAGGCTAAAGAAATAAAACAGATTTTCCATTAAGAAATATATTTTCCTGTTTCTTAAAACATCTCTGGCACCATCTGGGCTCAGCCACAGGCTAAGTGAGGTGGGTATGATTAATCCTTGGTGTTGTCATCTTTAGCACAACCACCATCACCTCTCCCTCCTCCAGAGTAGCCCAGTACAAATGCCTCTTTTCCCTGCTCACTTGCCCTCCTCCCCAAATCATCCTTCCCACAAGGTGGTTTGAGATTTGAGGAGCAAAGTAAACCTGAACATATTGACTCTATTGGCTGAGTTTGATATTTGTCAGGAAGGATCCTCCCTTGAATTTCTTCCATTTGTTAACTGGGCCTACTCTGCTTAGTCACAAAGTTCCCCCTGCTTATCTCCTCCAGAAGTGGCCTGGCTTTGTTGCCCAGGGAGTATTTTAGAGAAAAGTGGTGCTGCAAGAAGCCCACACCACTGTGATGAAGAAGGACCCATTTCAGAAATCCAGGGAACTCTGTTGGCTCTGTAGGAGGAAGCACTGACCCATTAAACTTGCTTCTTCATGATGAGTATTTCTGTAGTGCTTGCATCTGACAGTGAAAAATCCTTTTCTTAATTATTCCAAAAAGTAAAAGTTTTTTTTTTTTTAATTTGGAAATACTGAGACATCTTATATATTATATGTGAAAATAGCCAGAGGTAAAAGGGATAGTCTACACTGAAGGGACTTCAGCATTTCCAAACAGAGTGTCCTTGACATTATTGGATCAAAGTCAATAGAATATTAGGCTAATGTGACTTGTCCGCCTGGGTGAAACATCCTGCAGTGTTAAGTGTAGGGGTTTCTTGGTTTGTTTTCTTTGGGGTTTACTTTGAATAGAGTGTTTCCTTACCATGACCAAGGGTTTCCAAAACTCTGGAAGTTGAAAGATCTCTTTTTAATGGGCGCTGATTAAATGAAAATGATGTGGCAACAAATTATATTTAGCAAATAGACATTTGAAAGCAAATATTCAGACTTCCTGGGCAGGGCATGGTTCTGGCACTCTTCCTGGGTGTGACCCCAGTACGTGTCATGTTCTGGAGAGAGGCTTGCTCCCTGTCACTAGAGAAGGTGAGCCAACCTGCTTGAGGTACTGTCAGCCTGGGCATATGAATCCCAGCCAAACCAAAAGGGAAAGAGTTGGCTTACTTGTGGCTTTTCTGATGAGTCCTTTAAGTGGAAAAATACATTTTTAAAAAGCAGTTCATGTATAGTCACATTAGTCCTTTTAATTGATGATATGACAGTCCGGCTGAGTGTGGATCAAAATGTGAGTTGTAAAGGGGCTGAATTTTTAAAAGATATATTGAGAGTTGCTACGGTCTTTGGAGTGTGTATGTGTGATGGGGTTTGGGTGTATTTGTCGGTAGTAGAGTATGTGTGTTTGATCCCCAGCACTTAAAAGAAGCAAAAGAGATTTGATCCCCTTCTAGAAATGTTCCCACTCTGGGGAAGGTAAAGTTTTGGCAGAAAGTTACTGCCATTGAGGCACACGTCTTGTGCTTAATTCCATACACACAGGAAGAGTAGGGGGAGGTTCAAAATATAGATGTCCAAAGAGAAGCATAAAAATAGTGCTTCTTTGCTTCTCGGGAGCATTGACCCCTTTCCCTCTCCATCTCACCAATCCCAGAAGAAAAGGTAATTAGAGGAAATACAAGGGCCAGATATATAACAAGTATATAAATGCTCTAAAATTGATATCAAAGTGTTTGGAGCTCTAGTTCACAAAAGGGGTGATGGAGAAAGCTGTAACCAGACCCAGGGGCACAAGCTGGTTCTACATTTTGCAGAACTGCTCTTTTGGCAGAAGCTTTGGAGGGGCCTCCTGTAAAGGAATGGAAGTAACAGGCTGAAGTTCCTGTACTTGAGGGCAGAAGCTTTGCCTGTGTGTTTTGTTTTTATGAAACAGAAAGGAGGTTGCTTATCTCTGGCTGATAGATGTGCATTTCAGCATGACAGGAAAGAGGAGGCTCATTTATAAACAAACCTGGTCCTTTGGGGCTTCCTACATGGGAGGGGGGGACACTGCTTATAAGAAGTTTATGCTCTGAGTTTTCAAAGAAATTGCAGTGTTTTTCACTTTAGAGACCTCATTATATTTCCCTACCTATAGCCCTTTTTTGAGGATTGCACTGAGGCCACTTTTGCTGCAGAGAACTAACTCCAGGGCCTTTTGCACTGCTAAATGCAAACCATGTGTGTGACCTGAGGTTTCCTCCCTCTCCGCAGTACTGCACATTTGGCACAAAGAATGGGTTTAGCTGAAATGCAGTGGGGTGTGTAATGAAAAGTGGGATGCTTAATGTGTTAGGAGATACTCACATTGCATTCATAGTGAGCTTCAGTGTAAAAGCCGGCTGCTTGCTAGCAACCCCTGCAGTTTCGATGTGCTAAGCTAAACCCCTTCCACAAAAGGTTTTTCCCACAGCAGCCCTTTCCTAGTCCCTGTTCAAGTAGGTTGTATGTTTGGCACATGAGGGTCTCTGTTGTAGCTAGGGCCATATCCAGACTTTACCAGCCCAGTTTTAAACAAACCATTTGGAAAAAGGCCCTGGGGGTTGCGGGTGTAGTTTCTGGCAGAGTGCCTGCTTACAATGCTTACAAATGCCCAAGGCCCTGGGTTGGACCCTTAGTACTAAAACAAAAAAGAAAAAGTTCCCCAAGCTGCCAAGGATCTATTATAATTTAAATGCTCATCCTCTTTTATGGCTTGTATCTAGATATCCGCCCAAAACCTCATGTGGTCAGAGGTGAGGCTTTTCAGGGGTGGCTGGATCTAGAGTGTATGATGCTGGGATTAAGTCTGTGGTGCTGGGATTAAGGATGTGTGATTACTAAATTAGTTCACAGATTGGTATGACATAGTTCTGGGTGTGGATAATGGGAAGGCCCACCCTGGGTGTGAGTGATACCCTCCCTAAAGGGGTGTAGCCTGGATAGAATATAAGGGACAGAAATAGGCCTAGGCCATCACTTGCTGCGTTTGCTGCCTTCTTTCTGCCTACCATGAACTATTTGTCCTCCATGAGGCCTCTCTGCCTTGCCACCGTGCTTTGGAGCCAGCCAACTATGAACTGAAACCCCCACAAACTGTGAGCCATATAGACCTTTCCTCCTTTTTAACTTTGGGTATCTGGTATTTTGTCTCAGCAATGAGAAAAAAAACAAACAAACAAAAAAACCAAAAAAAAAAAAACAAAACTCTAAGGCACCCTCCAAACTCTACAATATCTTTATGAGAGAAGATGCATAGTATTTTCTGAACACTGTCTGTTGGTTCACATAATCCAGATATTGGTAGTATCTTCAAAGTTTGTAGGTGAAGCAGGAGGATCATGAGTTTGAGCCTAGCCTGGGCCACTTTGCAATTTAGCAAGCTGTCTGGTAAAACAACAACAACAACAAACAATTTGGGAAAAGTTGCCTGGAATATAGCCCAGTGGGGAGGCTTGGGTTCATTGCACAGTACCATAGGGGGAAAATAAAGGGAGGGCACTTGTAGGCCCCTAAATCCAGGGAATTTGTCATCAACTGTCAGAGCCCTTAGCTACTGTTACTGCCTGTTAGTCTACTGAGAAACCCTCCTCCTTGCCCTATGCACAAGAATTTGAAAACAAAACATCAATAAACAGAAAAGCCTTAACAGTGGGCAGAGACCTGGGATAGCTGCTTCCTACCCACAGTTGTGAAAAGGATTGGATAAAATGGCAAAGCAAAGATAATGTCCTGTGTTGCAGTGTACATAAAACCTATTTTGTTTTCTTCTTTTTTAAAATTAACCGCAGGAGAGACAGCAGGAAGGCAACAAGTCCCCACCTCTCCACCGGCCTCAGAAAACAGCAGTGCAGCTCACAGCATCGGAAGCACACAGAGCACACCCTGCTCCAGCAGCAGCACAGCCTAGCCACGCCAAACCTGGCCTTCACTGCCAAAGGCAGGGCCTGATGCTGATGCCATGTGTCCAGATTCGGAAGGCTTGATTTGGGTTCCCTTGTAGAGAGAGTGGATTTCAGTGTAAAGATTACCTGTTACATTCACCACTCATGGCCAATAGAAATGTGACCCCTGGATCTCTGCAACACACTATAGTTCATGTGGAAAAGCTAAGATGGTGGCCTTATCCACCAGCACCCCCAGGCTGGGGGGTTTTCAATGTGAAACACATGCCAGTTTTTAAAATGCTGCTTTGTCCAGGTGAGAACATCAATAATTTGGGGCCCTGAGTTTTACCTGCACTCAAGATGGTCAGAGGGTCACAGCTAGACAGTAGGCCCAATGAGATGTGGCCAAAGAGTCTTTTACATTTGAACCAAGATTTAAAAACAAAAGAAATGCTTCTAGGCTTTCTCAGTGCTCCTCAATGCCTGATCTGCACTCCGTCTGGATACCTACGCTTAACTGGCCATACTGTGGGATCTGATATGTGGCCTGCTGGTTGCTGCCCTCAGGACTGCAGCCTGCCACATGTCAAGACAACATTCCTTTCTTGTTCCCTGGGCCAAAACCAGTGCTGATTACCTTGTCAGCTTCTTCTCTTCCCCCCACTCAACACACACTGACTAAAGACATGTCTTAATGCAAATTTTGTCCTTCTTACAGGCATGTAGAAATTGAAAATGGCCAAGGTCTGGAACTGCAGATTTGTATTCATTTTGTTGGGATAAGTTAATGTCTACATTGGGGACAGAATTAATTCAGTTGTAAAGTTGAGGAGAAATTTGTAAAGTGATATATGTATACAAGTATGAAAAGACAAGTATATAATATCTCATCTGGCACATTCATTTCCTCAGTTGAAGAAAAAAGAAATTGAGCCAGGTGCAGTGGCACTTGTCTATAATAGCAGCTACTTACCCAGGCAGGAGGTTCACAAGTTCCAGGCCAGCCTAGGCAACTTAGCAAGAGCTCATCCTTAAAAAACAAAAAAGATGAAAAAATCCATTTCCATTTTGAAAATATCTGCTGCTTCCCAAGTTGAAACTTATATTTAAGTAATATTTGGTAGAATGAGCATTTCCATTCAGGACGCATTAACCATTCTCATAAGCCCTTGTGTGAAAAGCAGACCCTTAGGAGATACAAATGCCTGGCAGATCCTGTCGGATTCTTGGTTATCTGAATAGTGTCACCAGTTCTGCCAGGACACTGCTGAGCAGGGGAAAAGTGCACTCATTTTGTTTGCTTTTGTTCTCTTGTCTTAAATATATCCAAACTCAAAAGGATCTGCAATGAATTTCATTAAATGGGATAATATGATGCCACGTCGCAGCTAAAATATGCTCAGTGATACCCATATGTCAAAAAGGATACCAGAGGGGAATTGCCGTGCCAGGTCATTTACTGCGGACATTGCAAATTACGTAGACTTCTGTTTCCCTATCCCCGCAACAATTTAGCATTCCATCCGTAGCACAAGTTAGATTCTGCCCTAAAACGTTCATGACCCACTTCCACTGCCTTTGAGGCAGTTGTGCTTGGTCCTCTGTGAATGGAACCTTACACAGGAAATATGGGTGAAGCTGAGAACCTTAAGGCAGTGTCTACAAGGCGAGGAGATGGACATGGAGATGACTGGATAGATGTAGACATTCAAATGGATAATTTTAACCAAAGCAGACTACTTAGCAGCTGAGATCTCCGGGCCATCTACATTGATAATAGTGAACATTTTTTAGATTTTCAAATACATGTGAGGATAACATGTGACCAGAAAAATGTTTTCCTTTAATTTTTTAACATAAGGGTATCATATCAGAGCAGAGGGCCTAGATTACGCTAGCTGTGTTTGAAAATAATGCGCTTTGCCTAACCTTCTGCAGAATGTATTGTTTTAGCATATTCTATGTATAAAAAAGTTTAAAGATGTCTTCAAAGAAGACTAGAGTCTTTAAGTCACTTATAGCTATATTTTACTACAAAAATTTGTGTATAAAGATATATTTAAGTGTTTTAGATAAATTTAAGTTACTCCATATGAAATGTTTAATTTCAATTACTGTGAATTCTTTGATCAGTTCTTTGCTTTAAAAAATCCTTTCCATCTTTTAAAAAGAAAATTAGCTACAAGGAGATATTAAAAGATGCATTTCTTAGATGGGTAGAGTGAAAAAGTTCTGTAATATATTTAAATGTATATTTGAGAGAGTTCCTACAGTGCCAATGATTTTATAAATAATCTTAAATTAATTTACAAATTTATACATGCAAACCAAAAGATTTTTTAAAAGAGAAAAGAAAAAGAACAGTTTTTATTTTTTGGGGGGGGTCTTATTGTCAGAAGTACTATTGAGATAGAGAAATTCATATTGACAAAACCTAATCCGATATTGGAGAATGAATAGGGCGTTTCCCTAGCTTCTTGTTACAGCCCTGCTGATTGCTTCATCCTTTACAGCTTTTATACAAAGTACAAGCTCTACTTTTATAACATGTTCTGCAAGTTCCTTTAAAACTGTCGTTATATTCCATCAGCAAAGCCTAATATTATTTCTGCCGTACATCCATAATCCACAGAGCCCATTTTGTTTTGTTGATACTGACGCTATTGTTGAAATGCTCCAAACTCCACCACAGATTATCTGTGTAACACCTTTAGCTTTTCACTGTGTAGCGTTCATCAGCTGTTACTCTGTATTTTAAAAAGTCAGAAATTTCTTCTATGTAAGCTGTTTCTATGGCATTTTCTAAACACAAAGTGGTCTTTTCCTTGTCTGGTAATAAGATTGTAAGTCCATTTCCTGTGTGTTCTGGGCGGGTGTGTGACTGTGAGTGCATGTGGGGTGCGTGTGCACCCACCTGTCTTTTTGTACTGCAACTACCTCATGGTTTGAATGATGACTGTACTGCTGGTTATGTTAACAGAACACATTTTGTTGGGCGAGTCCTGTATGTGGTTTTTTTCCTGTTTGTTTTATCTGGGGGTTGTTCATGAAACTGACAGATGTTTTTCTAAAAAGGACTATTATCAGTTTCCAAATACAATACTTCTCTCTTCTGGTTTTTCCTGAATGAGCCTGATTTTGTTGCTGTTTTTCATCATCTATGAGGGTAGAAAGAGTAACCCGAAAATCCCTGTGGCCAGTTTGAACACCCCTGTAGTAGCCTTTGTTTGATGTGTCAGAAACTTTGTGAACATGCTTAGATGTATAGTCTTGATAACCACCGTTTTAAGTCTTTTATCTGTGCATAATAAAAAGATATATATCAATTATTAATATGCATCTTGTTTGGTCATCATTAAATTCTTCCTTCAAGCTGATACTTTTTCTGTCTGACTTGCACTTTCTCTCCTGTTTATATTGCCTGCCCTTTTATGAGAGGAGGGTGGGCAGAGCCACGGGAAAGAGCACCCTGGAGTGCATTCCTGGGCCTTCTGTCAGTCTCCTGGAAATGAAGAAAGAAACAACATGCGTTTAATCTCCACTATTTTCATCCCCTCCCAATACCCCAGTGCTGCTTCCAGCATTCCCCACCTCACTGTGGTACCATCCTCTTCCAGTTACCTCAGGCAAAAAACTAGGATCCTAACTGCAGCCTCTTTGGCCTTCCTAACCCAAATTAATAAATCCAAGTGTTATTTTACCTCCAGAATATCTTTCTCTCAAACCATAGACTGATTCCCACATTTACTGCTGCTACCCACTGCCAAAGAGCCATTACCTTGATAGAATTTGCTTCCATAGCTTAACTGCTGCACCAACTGCCTGTCTTGCTTCCCTCCAATTCTTTTTTTGCTACACAGCAAAACTAATAACTAAAAAACTCAAATGTTACTTCCCAGCTTGAGCCCTTTATGTAATTCCTCAGTTTGCCTTCAGGATGAAAAAAGTCCACCTTCTTAAGTGTAAATCCAATGAGAATTATGCCTGCAATCCCAGCTACTTCTATCATTTCTCCGGAGTTCAGTTCTGTTGGGCACACCCCTGCCAGATGAGTCTGTACTATGAAAACTTCTCTCCCTATCAAAGATTATAATGATGAATATATTTCTACATTGCCATATCCCTGTCTTCTCTTTTGAGAGTTAGGATCTTAGGAGCTTTGATAGCAAGGCCAGCCACCCATTCCTCACACCTTCCACAGACCAGACCGCACAGTGAACAGGGACAGCAAAAAGAGCTGGAGTCACATTGTGCTCAAATGAGGTTGAAGTCATTATAGATGAGCTCTGCCATCTTTCAGTGCCAAAATGACTCTGGAGCCAGTTCTCTCCTTATGAGGACACGAGGGAGAAATTGGCAGGTCAGTTAATATTTCTGCTATAAACTCTCCTTGTTTGTCGTGGAGCAGAAACCAAGGCCATCCATCAGAAGGTTTCTCAGGGTCTATGAACTGCGTAGAATTGGGTGCAAGAGTTGGTGTGGATGTGGCTGGGTTATTGTTCCTGTTTTGGTGAGAGTGTTCACAGACTGTTTGCAGTTATGTCCTCTAATTAAAATTTTTTTCTTGCTTGCTATGTATTTGTGGAAAATAAGTGTAAAAAATCCAAAGCAATAAAAACACCCCTCTACTTTAGACAAAGCTCTATGATTGGTAATCAGTGTGTTCCTAGACATTGCCTGATGTTCATATCCATCAGCACATGGCACTGTAATAAAAAGATGAAGTTGTAACATTTATAACTTGCTTTTTTCCACAAGGCCACATCTTTGTATTAGATCCTCCAAAGTGAGTGCTGATCACATCAGTGTCACACTCAACCTAGCTTAAGCTGCCAAAATAAAATGTGGTTATTATAGGACATAAAACAAAAATATTCTTCATAACTACCTTCCTCAGCCCCTACAGTTGCTTCCCTGGAGGAACTGATGTTAACAGTCTTTTTTCAAAATGAGATGTGTTGAAACGTGTTCATAAGTCAAGGGATTCTTATTTTGTTTACTAAAATAGAGTCAATACCCACACTACAACTTTGTTCACTTAACATGAACCTCCCTCTAGATTAGAAGGTACAGGACAGCTGCAGAGTACCACCATACCATCAGTAAGTGTGCACACAGCTAGGACCCCACCCCACCCCAACCACAAAGGTGCAGGCACACTTGCCCAAGCCACAGCCCACCTAGAAAAGAGCTGCAAGGCATGCAAGCTTCATCCAGAGTCTCACCATACCATTGGCCACAGCCAAGGACCCACCTGGAAAACAACTACACAGATGCATAAGCAACAGCCAGAGGCTTGCCCGGATACCTCTGTTAAGTGCCTGAAGACCCTACCCAGAAACCTACACAGACAACAGGAACTGAGATACACAGCCCCCAGCCAAGTCCCCCCCCCACAACAGCTACATATGGGCCCCAGCAAGAGGCACACCTAGATACCATCCCAAGCATGCACAGGCCCCAGCCAGAATCCCATCCAGACAACAGGTCAGCTCAGGTATATAGAAGATCACCATTCTAAACCCAGGAATTGCTGTACTGGGGAGCAGCAGAGTAAAGGCTGCTCAGTGGCCTGCTGAGAATTGAAGACCAATGGGTGAGCAAAGCATTTCCTCAACAAAGGCAAAGCAGGCTGCATCTGTTGAAATGAAAAGATAGGGAAATAAGTCTCAGAACCAGACTTCCAGATCACATAAGGCAATCCCAAAGGGAAATGAGATGGAAGTCTGATACTCAACCACCTGGACTCTCTGAACTGGCAATGAAAGAGGACCTGGAAAAAATGAAATCAGAAATAATTTCTCAGATAACAGCAGAGATTGTGCCCATAGTGTAAGACATGATTAACAAATCTAGAGCAGACATAGATAAAACAATAGAAGAGCTGAGGAACATGATGGAATCCAAACATAGGAAACAAATGGAATCCACGAAACATATGCAAACAGATTTCCAAGACCTTAAAAACTCCATTGAAAGTTTACACAGTAGAAAGAGCAAATGTGAGGACAGAATTCCAGATATAGAAGATAGGACTGCAATTAGTGACCAGGAAAGGAAAAAAAAAAACTCTTAAAAATAGTAAAGGGCCATGAGAGATCAATCCAGCAGTTGCCAGATGATTGAAAGAATAATAGAATACTGATTGGAGTCAGTGAAGAAACAGGAGAGCATGAAGATGATATAAGTGAGGCTTATAGGATTCCAACTAGCCCTGATTAAAAAAAAAAATCTACACATGGGCATACAATAGTTAAGATTCCAGAAACCCAACAGAAGAACAAAATTCTGGAAGCAGTTAGAGAAAAGAAACAAATCATGTACAAAGGAAAACCCATCAGAATCACAGCAGATTTGTCAACACAAACACGCAAGGCAAGAAGAACATGGAGTGACATATTTCAAGCTCTAAAGGAAAACAACTTCCAACCCAGATTGATGTACCATGCAAAACTCTTTCAAAATTGATGGAGAAATAAGATACTTTCATAACAAAGAGCACCTTAGGAACTTCATGAATACTAAACCAACACTTCAAAAATCTTAAACAATATCCTAGGCAAAGACAACAAGAATCACAGCCCCAGGAAGCCCAGCAGAATGAACCCATCAGTCATGACAAGAAAATAAATGTAAAGGGGGAGAATCCGACAAAAAGAAAAAGTCATGACAAGGATGTCAATACATATTAGTTATAACCATCAATATTAATGGTCTCAATTCACCAATCAAAAGAAGTAGACTGGCAGAATAGGTCAAGAAGCAAGATCCAGCAATATGCTGCAAGAAACACAAGAAATACACTTAACAAAGAAACTCATAGACTGAAAGTTAAAGGGTAGAAAATAATCCTCCACGTAACAGGAATCCCCTTGGTCAAAAAAACAAAACAACAGGAGTAGCTATCCTCTTTGCAGATCAAGTGGATTTCAAACCAACACTGATTAAGAGAGACAAAGAAGGACACTACATCCTTGTAAAGGGAACAATCCAAGAGGAAGAGAAGATAATCATAAATATACATGCACCAAACACATGTGCACCCAACTATATAAAACGAGTACTAATGGACATGAAAAATCATATAAGCACTAATACAATAGTGGGAAACCTTAATACTCCACTGTCACAAATAGATCAACCAGACAAAAAATAAACAGTGAAATACTAGAACTCAATCAAACTCTTAAACAAATGAACTTAACAGATATTTACAGTGTTCCACCCCACAAAATCAGAATACACATTCTTTTCAGTTGCACATGGATTGTTCTCCAAAATAGACCATAAAACATGTTTAAGTAAGTGCAAAGGAACTGAAGTTATCCCCTGCATATTATCAGACCATAGTGTGATGAAATTGGAGATCAATAGCAAAAGAAACCACAAGAATTTCATAAACATATGGAAATTGAAAAACACATGGAAATTTAACAACACACTTTTGAATAACCAATGGGTCACAGAGGAAATTAAAGAAGAAATCAAGCAGTTCCTACAATTAAATGACAGCGAAAGTACAACATATAGGACTCTATGGGACACAGTGAAAGCAGTCTTTATGAGGGAAATTCATAGCAGTGAATACTTATATGAGGAAAAGAGAATGAGCTCAATTATACAACCTGATACTGAACCTCAAACTTCTAAAAAAAAGAGGAGCAGGTCAAACCCAAAGCTCATACAAGGGAGGAAATTATAAGACCAGGGCAGAAAGTAATGCAATGGTGACTAAGAGAACAATAAAAAAAAAAAAATCACTGAAGCCAAGAGTTGGTTCTTTGAAAGAATAAACAAAATTGACAAACCCTTAGCCAACTTTATCAAAAAAGGAAAGAAAAGGCCCAAATCCAGGCAATTAGGAATGAAAAGGGTGAAATTACAATGGACCCAGCAGAAATCCAGAGGATCATCAATACCTACTTTGAGAATCTATATGCCAATAAGATGAATAGAGAAGAAATGGACAGATTCCTAGATTTGTATGAATTAACAAAGTTTAACAAACAATCCAATATCAGTCAATGAAATTGAAAACTTAATAAAAAACTTACCAAGTAAGAAAAGTCCGGGTCCTGATGGCTTCACTGCTGAATTCTATGAGACATTTAGAGAGGAACTGCTGCCATTACTGTTTAAACTCTTCAATGAAATTGAAAGGGGAGCAATATTCCCAAATTCATTCCTGGAAGCAAGTATCACCTTGATCCCCAAAGCAGAGAAAAACCCAAACGAAAAAGAGAACTATAGCCCAATCTCACTAATGAACGTAGATGCAAAAATCTTTAATAAGATACTAGCAAACAGAATGCAGGAAATCATTAAG